TTTTTTTTTCAAACCCCTACCATTCACATGCATAACCATTGCAGTTTTTCCCTTTTGATAACAGAAACCAAATGTAATTGGATCCCTGCTGATTCATTGACAAGGCTGTCGATTTCAGTTCAAATAGAACTGAATATTATTTTGTAATGATATTATAAAATGGTAAAAATTCAGAGCATATAAGTGCAATAGGCTGCACTCTGTTCTCCGGAGGACGCAATACACTGAACTGTCAATTGCTATTCTCTTCAGAAGTGCAAAATGGAGGAAGCTGTGAGCCATGCTGAACAGTTTGTGGCACCAAACAATCTGATTGTTTTCTTTGACGCAAAGCTTTGTGAGTAAATGCATTTGAATTTTTTTAAGGTTTTGAAAAAGTGGCAACCCTGAAGGGTGAAATGATCGACTCTCTTACTCCTCCAGGGGGTCTAATGGAAGTATTTAGACTTTCCCTGTCCTCTTAATCAAACATACGTCAATAATCGAAAGCAGTCCTCGCGCTTTAGTCTCATTAGTCAGCAGTAACTGGCCTATTCTCACAAACACAACACAGAGTTCTATATTAACTGCACATGCATGAATCCATTTAATGATTTTTCTAAAGTGCTGCAGTCCCAGTGTGCGTGACAGCAACCTTTGCCTTGGCAATTTGGGAGCTCTCGCCTGCTATGATTTGCCAGCCGAATACATGATGTCGGTTTGTTTCGAAAACTTCCCACAACTGTTAACTGTTGGGCTAAAATGCGATCTTTCCCCAAGTGGGCCCTCTCATTCATCCTATAAGCTGGTGAACTAGCGTAGCTTAGCCTAGAACCTTCTCACTGCCCAAAGTCTGCCTTCCATCCTCTTCCAGTGCTTCCTGTCCTCTCCAAAGCTTTGATCCTCTAAGCCTGCAGAGTTTACAGTATCAGTCCTTGGTTACACTAAAACCCACACTCACACATCTAGAGCTGCAGTGGAGGACCAACTCCTGCTCCACCGTTAAGCCTCCCAGTAGATATAATCCATCCTGCTTCTTTTCTACCTCAAAAGCTGTGGTTTTAAAGCAAAGATGTATCCTCATCTGAAATTGCCTCAACCTGCTACGGCGCTTATATGAAACATCTCGAGAGTTCGGTCCGATCAGAACTAGTTTCACACCATTAGACCCTCATCTCCAGGCATCCCACGTCAGGACATCTGCTCTTCTTCCAGTAGCTGCTTCTAACACTAACCGGCTTCGGCTCTCGGGCCGTTTTTATTTTCACAACGGGACCGTTTACCCCCTCAGAGTGCCTCACCGTTCCCATCATCAGCACCACCACCACCCAGTTCCACTCCGCCAGGGGATGGACTGGTCCTGCTCAGTCTACCCATGGCTCCACTGACAGGGGATAAAGGGATAAAGAGCCTCTGCTCAGGGACTGATTACTTACATCTGCCAAGCTAAATCCCAGTGCCCACACACACACACACTAACACAGACACACACATGTGTACAAACAGCACACAGGCACACGCTTGGCCTGCTGCTAGCTGCAACAGACGCACTCATGCATGTATTGTTTTCTGACATAAGCATGTGGTATGTGGAAAACTGTGTGTGTGTGTGTGTTTATTCATGTGTAGGATAAAGATTATATGGCAATAAATGTGTACGGAAACACGTGTATGGTGAATTGTTAATAGCGCAGCCATCACCAACTTCACATTACTGCTCCTATAAACATGTCAAAAAAAAATACAGTCAACATGACACAGCGATGAGCCTGTCGAAGGTCTTCTCGACCCGTAAATTCTAACAAATGTTCAGGAGATCTGATGTGTACAAACAATGTGGCAAACAACATCTTAACGCAGTGCTGAAATCCTGTTTTTCCTCCCAAAAGTCAGAGCTTCTTTAATATTCTGTGTAAATATACAACATTATTCAGCTGCAGTAATATACTGACATTTGCACTTTTAGAGCGCCGTCTGTGGTCCCTCGCTGACTTTAACCATGTCGGGCTCTGCCAAAAGATTTCACTTCTAAATATATTACTAGCTGTTGACAGGGCTTTTTTCGAGTTATTACATCCAGAGATAACACGCAACCACCGGGCAAACGCTCTTCATAACACAATCTCTCGTGCAGTAACAACTATTTGCTCATAAGATCTAATAGAATATCACCAAGGGGAGAAAACATGGATGTGTTTTTTTAGCAGCAGGTGAGCAATATTTTCATTTCCAAAACACGTGTCCGGAGCTCGGATTTTTCAGCCGCACTGTACACAAAACCAACCTGAAACACCACGAGGTTGGCAACGCCACAGTGTAATGGAGTTTAGCCTTTGACCACAAAGTCATCAAATAACACAGTTCTCATGAGTTCCCATTGATTGCCAGTATTAGAAAGCTGGCACCGCTATCAGACGTTCCCAGCGAGCGGATGGCAGGCTGGCCCACTGACCTCTCGCTTCCAGCTCATCTTTCTCTCCCGGGGAATAGAAGGAGAGAAAAAAAAAATATCATAACTCTCATAACAGCATATTAATCCCATGGTCTGAGCGCACGCCGCTTTGGAGGGCTTACCCCCTGTCAACACAGATTTGTGGTGCTCTTTCACATGGACACACCTGCAGGTTGCTGAACGAGTGTTGGACAGGAGAACCAAAGCTCAGGACGGGGAAACTGAGGACTATAAAACAGACAAGTGTAGTTTATTTATAGGGCTTTATAATAGACTTCTCTTGAATTGCTGAACCGATTTGTCAGGATTTTAACAGGTTGGCAACTCCTAAACTGGAATGTGCCCTCAAAAGGCGGCAAACCTGGAAGGCCACCATGATCCAAACAGAGTGGAGAACTGGTCCCCATCAAGATTAGCAGAGATTGAACTAAACTTCAAGAGGACTTCAGCTGGAGTTATCAAAGAAACAGATCTTAATTTGGAGTCTGAACACTGTGATATTCAGCTCTTTTCAAGGGTGCCAGGATTTTTTTTTTTTTTTTGGTGGGGGGGGGGATCGTACATCCAATTACCGCCATCTTCAGGCACGAAAAGAAGCAGCCCCTTTAATCGTTAGACAGATACACTGATTCGTGACTGAAAAATCAGCTTCTAAAGTGACGATTGCAGGAGGAAGAAGGAAAAAAAAAAAAAAAGACCGAATGAAGTGTTTTAATTAGAATCAGTTTGGGTGACGACTGTGAATGGCACCCTGAGATTGCGCCAGTCTCTCCATTAATACAGTGGCCCCGTAATGCGGTGCCTTATGATGGCAGCTCACATTTAAATGCACTATCAACGACCAGCGACAGCAGCGAGACAGAGGAAGATGGGAAATAGGCACTTACGCGCCGTGTTGTCATTTAGAAGAGAGGGGGAAGAGAGAGAGAGAAAAGGCGATACCAATTGACTTTTGCGCAATGGAAACACGCTCGCCAACAAGGAGGCTGCGCAGACACCACACAGAACAGAAGCCAGCGTTTCCCCTTGGACGGACACTGTGAGGAGCGCTGCGGGGCAATGCGCGCAACCATGTGCGCACACAGCCTCCAACGCCCGCGCGCACACACACACATACACACATATATATATACACACACACAAGCCATACAGCTCCAACTCTTTTTAAGCACACCAGATCCAACAAACCAGCTGCAGCTTAGCGGAAGGATTTAGTCTGTAATGTTTACCTCGGTGTCGTAGATTTTGGTGATGAGGGAGAACGAGTACTTCCTGGACTCCCGTATGTGCTGGATGGCCAGCTGGACCGCCGGCTCGATGCCTTGGCTGATGCCGCTCATCAGGGCCGACTCGTTCATGGGCATAAGAACCATGATGGGCAAGTTTTCCCCGTCCCTGGCGAACCAGCTGTTGTCCTGTCCGTGCTTGGTGCGGTCGTTGCACACCTTGGCCAGGGCAGGGTGAAATAGCAAAACAGAGAGGAGCAGGCATCCCGTCGGGAGGAACATCTCCCAGCCGCTGCAGTCCCTCCGGGCTGGAGCCATGCTACCGCGCAGGGTGACCAAATCAAATCCCACCGAGTGCCCTCACTGCTCGGGCATCGCCGATTCGGGCTCGTCCGGGATGCTCAGACGCTCGCCCTGTCCAAGGAAAATCGTATCTCAAAAAAAACAGAACAGACGCGAAAAGCCGCAGCAGCAGCAGCAGCCCCTGCAGTGGGCAAACTGGTCGTACACGGATCGCAAAGTGGAACAATATTTCTACTCTGTGAGCAGTGCCTCTGTGAGAATATTCCAAGGGCGCAGGGATTGCAGAGGGGAGAGCTATCGCCTCTCGGTGTCCGTCATCCAAACGATCCCCTGTCAAAACAGCCCTCTAATTCAACACCCCCGTTTCACCTTTCAGCTGAACCATTTATCTCAAGCGCAATGGAATGCCCCCCCCGAAAGAAAAAATAAAAAAAAAACAACGAGCAGAAGACCGCAGGTGTAGACAGGAATCAATCACTCTTGTTGACAGTTCTTGCAGATACAAAAATCACCTCCGAAGTAAATTCCCAGCCAAGAGATGCCAACTGTGGGCATCCCTGTCAAAACGCAGCGCTCAGTCCGACAAAAAAAAAAAAGAGAGACAACGAAGGGGGGAGACACCGGGACTAAAAACAAACAGAGCTGGAACCGCAGAGGTCCAGGGGGGAGATGTCGAGAGAGTCTGCCTTGACAGCCTGTGGGACTGGGATGCTCATCTCCGATGGTGCGTCAGAGAAGCGCTGAAGCCGATGCTGCTGCTCGCCGCGCGCGCAAGAGGGAGCACTGAATGTGGAGGAGAGAGAGAGAGAGAGAGAGAGAGAGAGAGGAGGGAGATGGATACAACAGCGTGGTGGAAAGGCTGCATAGGCTTTATGCAGGGCAGACTCATCAGCAGCTTGACAGAGGAGGGTGATTTACTGAGCTTTATGTTCCAGGAGACAGACGACATCTCTGACACGCACGGAGCAGGCTAGTTAAAGTACAGGGAGGGCTGTGTGCACGCTGACGTACTGTACCTCACGCAGTCACATCAAAAAGACAAGAATTAAAAAAAAAAAAAGGCAAAATTCACAATAGACCCTCAAATAAGTAGAAAAGGAAAAAAGTAATAATAAATTAAAATTTGCTAAATTATAATTTAGTGAAATAAGACATTGCTTTTGAATTGTGGTTGAAAAAATAATAATTAAAAAAAATATTCCTGACAAATTAGAGCAATTTGCTGATGAGCAGTGGGCCAAAATCAGAATAGCTGTCAACAGGTGTAGAAGTCTGATAGAGAGTTACAGAAAACACTTGATAGCAGTGATTGGCTCAAAGGGTTGTTCAATAAAATATTAGTTTATCATGCTTGTTTGCTTGATTATTTGTTTATTTATTTTTTATTTCTGTTGAACCATAATTCAAAAGCAATGTCATGATTTTCATTCATTTTTTTCCTTCTTTACTGGGAGGGTGTGAATAGATTTGAGGACGACTGCATACACATTCTTTCAGCTTTATTTTTAGTTGCTCATTAGAAATGCTGATCCTCAGGATGAGTTCCCACAAGGCAGCTGATTCTCTTCGATTCTCCGCGTACCTGCCGCACCTGCCCAAGTCTCCTTGACCGTGATAGCTGCGTCTAAATCCGAGGAAGGGATGAGATTTACCACTTGGATCAATAAACACTGTACAAATATACCAAATTTCCAGCATATTTCAGGGGTCAAGAATTCTTGCATGTGAAGGAATGTCTCATTAAAAGTGAGTCCTGTGCGTCCTTGTTTGAGGATGTTCGCTTAATCCAGCCAGGAAACCAGGAGAACAAGGCTCTCTACTTTTGGGGAAACACTAGCTTTTTGGCAGCTGGTGGGCTTTCTGATGTTTTCCATATGTCTGACTGGGTTTTTTTTTTTTCTGGGTGCAGCTCCAAAGACGTATGTGGGAGATCTCCACGTAATGAAGATTAAAACTCAGGTGTTAATGGTTCCTTAAGGTTATAAGGATCTGGAACTCCCAACTAGTCAGTCAGAACTGATGAAGCCTCCTGGATGACAGGTGAAACGTCTTCAAGGAACTCAAGCAAGTCCAGTTGCTACGATTAATCTACAAGAATAACCGTGACCTGAATGACTGAGAATCTTCCCAGACATTCCTAACCAGGCAGCCCTACTGCACGCTATGACCTTCATCTCAAACTGTCTGACAGTTTGGGCTCAAGCAGCCCCATCTGCAATAAAACACATAAGTTCATTATACAATCAAGCTCTGAAAAGTATGGATAGAAAACCAAGTCGGTGGCATCACTGTCTTCATAAAATTTTTTGAGTTTTGAAAGCTTCATCGATCTTTGCTTCCTCAAATGAATCTTTAAATGCCTCAATAAATCAGCACCACAGCCGCTCTATGGATTCCTCCATAGACAGGACAGCAGCAGGGTCACCAGAAGCTCCACCAACAACAAAATATCTCACCGCAGAACAACATCCAGTCTTTTCAATCAAAGGCTGTCACATCTGGTTACCAAACGAAATTAATACGTTAGCAGATTTAAAAAACTTTTACAGCAAAAGTTAAGAACTGGCTGAAAGAAAAACAGATGATTATGATATCTATAAGGTCTGACTGACTGTGGATTGTGCCATTGTGTGTGTGTGTGTGTGTGTGTGTGTGTGTGTGGGTGGGAGATTATAGGTTTATAATGTTGTCTGTGCTGTTTTTATTGGTGTTGTTGGTCCTTTGTCTATTTTTACTGAAAAGCCCACCCAAAGTTGAAAATTACCTTAATGCTACACACTCTATTTGCAACACATCAGATGTGTTCTGTGTTAAATGCCTGGTCCCTGATCAAACAGATAAATACAATAAATAACTAAATGGAAGGTGTGCGTTTGAGCATGCGTCGGGCTCTTTGTGATGGTTCGGCGACCTACCCGGGGTGCCACCCGCCTCGCTGGAGCCCAACATCAGCCGGGAGAGGCTCCAAGCACCTCCTCACCTGGCTAAAGCAGGTATAGAAAGCCTAATGGAATGAATTGGATGAGTAGAATTTCATCACCACGGCCAGCTCTTTGCTCGGAGGCCTTTTGTGCTCTCCATGGTGCTGAAACCCACAAGTCCTATCATTCTCCGCTTCTCTTTCCATGTGTGCAATACTCCATTACCTGTACTTCCTCGGGGCAAATGAGAGCACACGTTTTATTCGTGTCCATATGCACAAACACTGCATTTCTCCTGCGGCACAGAGGTCCAAAAAAAAAAAACCAGCCAATTATTGCAATAGTTTGCAACACATTTCATGCTATTGTTAAACATGCTGTGAAGAGGACAGAATACGCTGCCGGAGGGGTGTAAGGTAGGGTGGGTGAAAAAATATGAAAGCCCTCCTGTCATCAGCTGTTTCAAAACAGAAGCATATACAGGTTGACCCCACGCAATTATATCACATGCGCAATTACAATCAGTGTCAAAGGGGCTCGTTGGAGAGGCGTGCGAGGGAGAGAACAAATGGGAGTGTAATGTGTTTTTTTTTTTATTCCCTTTCCTCTATTCAGGATGAGAATGAATGTGGCACAGAGGCCTACAGACCGCCCTGTTGGATGGATACAGGTATGAACTGCTGCTGCATTGCTCTAACATTTCCCCCCAACTTTGCTTTACATGATGAGATGTTCCAGATGAAGCCCAACACAAAGTGACAGGATGCAGCTCTAAGTATGTTTAATCATCCTACAGAGGATAATGTCAGCAATGTTAACCCTTTATGGGGCAAGTGACCATATTTGGTAACTTCAACATGTCCACCTTGTGCCTCTCCTTGAGGTTGAAGAACCATGTGACCTTTGATTTAGTTTTTATATTAGTGCCAATATCACTACTCCAAGAAAAATGTCACTAAACAAATGTTCCAGGCACTTTATAAACGCTTTGTTACTGGTTTGCATTGAACTCCACTTTGGTTTATTTTTTTAGATTATTGCCAAAACCAAGACCCCAAGAAAAATGTGACTAAATACTTTATAAATACTTTGTTCCTGGTTGTGTGAGTATCATTACCTTAAAGTAAAATGTTTCTAAATAAATGTTTTTGTTACGTTTTTTTATTTATTTATTACAAATTCACTTTTTTTTTCTTTTTTAACCGTAGACGGGCAAATTGCCATATATGGAAACTTTATTAATCTTGATTTGCAACATTTTCTTTGTTTTTAAAATCATGTAGAAACCAAAAACATAATAAAAGCCGATAACGTAATAAAAGCTGATAACACAATAAAAGTCCTGAACCAATAATTTAACAACTTTTGGCCAATAACGTAGTAACTTATTACATAATTGGAAAAAAGATGTTACGTTATTAGCCAGTTATTCTGTTATCGGTCTATTACATTTTTAAAAAGTGCAAATTTGTTACGTTATTGGCCGTTGTTTCGTTATCGGCTGTTATTACATTAAGTCACAAAAGTAAAAATATCTTGAAATATCCTACAGTAACACCCGAGGGTTGACATTTTCACTCTCCAAGCATTTCAACATGTGCCCTATAAAGGGTTAAAATTAAACCATTTTCCAGATGAATTCACTCTGTAGGCTATTGCCATCACCAACAAAAGTGGACATTATTAAACAACCTCTTCATAGCAAATACTCCAGCTCACAATCCCTCCTCTCACCAGTTTTCTTCATCTCATGAGTTTAAAGCATAAAGCTGTGATGGTTGATACGGCAGAGCTGACCCCCCCTGGCTTCTTAAAACACAGGTCATTTATCACGAGGCCAAGCAACCCTATGCACACAAGACACAAAGGAACTGGCCATAGCCCCGGAGGATCGCTGGAATATCTAGGTCTCTCCTTTTTCTCCCTGCCTCTCTGACAAGTACAGTCTTTATATAAAAAGATTTTCCCAAGTCAGGCATCTTAACTCCTTAAGGAACGCATATAGGAGAGTGTTGTTGTTTGCCGTTGATGTCAATCCACGTTTTGACCCGTGAAGCCGGATATATGGGGTTTAATTTTATGAAAGCAACTGTC